GTGTGAGCATCTTTGTTAAGTTTATGTTGGCCATATCTTAGCTTGTATTTGTGGTTATTTTGCTGAGGCATGCCACTGTTTTTACTTAGTTTTGTCGCTCCATGCATGCCTAATATACTTGTAGTGTAAATCTCATAAGCTAGTCTTGTATGCCTCATGAAGTAGCATGCTATTCTAACTTGTTTTGTTTCCATTTCAGCATGTTTTTGGTGATGTTTTGCCATATCATACCTCTGTTAGGGTTTGGTTTGGTCACCTCTTGCATGCTTCATGCACTTGTAGTGCATTTCCATGAATTAGCCTAACATGCATCATGCTTTGACATGTCATTCTAGTATGCTTTTGGATTAACTTAAAGAAGCTTTTGTCCATGTTTTAACATGTTTTAGCTCTGATTTGTGTTGTTTTAGCCATGCATGACTTGCTTTGTATAGCCATGGTTCAATCTAGTTTGTTAGCTTTGTGCACAAAGTCCATTAGCATGCTTTATTTGGACTATTTGAATGATTTGACATCATTTATTATGTGATTTCAGTCCATGTTTCATGCTCATGCACTTGCATCTTTCACTCATTCAATGCGTTTGAGGGTTTCCCCCTTTATGCCTTAACATGAATCATTGTGTATGCCTTCATGCCTTAGCTTGCAAGCCATCATTTCAATGTGTTTTTGGGGTTATCTTGCCATGATATAACTCTAATTTTTATTGGTTAAGTCATCCTATGCTTGGTCTTAATAGGTGTAGTGTAAACCACCTTATTTGCCTTGCATTCACCATGCCTTATGCTCTTCATGCTAGCACGTTTTGGCTTCCTTTCATGCATGTTTTAGACTCATTTTGACATGTTCTAGAACTGTTTTGGGTTGCCTTTGCTATATCCTTCATGCTTTGTATAGCTGTAGTGCAATTGGCCTTGCTAGCTTTGTGCTTTGTTGGCTCATGCATGCTATCTTTGAGCTATTTAGATGATTTGACATCATTTAATATTTCATTTCAGAGCTTATAGCATGCTTATATTCCCACTTCTTTCATGCTTTGAATTCCTTTAAGTGTTATGCATTGTTGCCTTACTTATGGCCTAACATGTATGCCATTTTGCCTAGGTCTTTGAGCCTCCATCTTAGCATGTTTTGGTCATTGTTTTGACCTATTTCAGCTCTGTTCATGGTTGGTTCATACACTTGTGCCATGTATTGCATGCTCCCTTTGTAGTCCTCTCTACTAGCTTCATGCTTTAAGGACCCTTGCATGCTATGCTTACTTTGTTTGAATGATTTGGCATCATTTCTTACTTAATTTCAGTGCATTTAGTGTTGTTACACTTCTATGTTTATCACTCCTTGAGCACTCTTGAGAGTTGTGCTCTTAGGCTTAGTTGGTTGGCCAATGCATTGTGCATGCATGCCTTGCCTTTTTGTGCCTTTGTTTCATCCTAATGGCCACTGATTTGGGCATGACTGAGGTCTACCCCTTTTGGTTTGAGTCCATTTAGCATGTTTACTTGCATGTTGTTTGCATGTTTATCTTGCTTTGCATTAAGTATGCATGTCCCTAATATTGATAAGTTGCCCTTGTTGCATTGCATTGTGCATGCATGCATTAGCGTTGTTCGCATGTCATTAGCTTTGTTAAGTTGATCATGTTACATTGCATTGAGAATGCTATCTTACATTACATTGTGCATGCCATGTAGTTCATAGCATTGTGTATGCCATGTAGTTCATCGCATTGTGTATGCCATGTTGTTTCATTACATTTGTGTATACCATGTTCGTTGTATTGCATATGCTAGTTGTCATTTAGCATTATGTATGCTAGTTGTTGTTCTTATCATTGTGCATTGTGCATGCCATTAGCCTTGTTAGGTTATTCATGTTGCATTGCGTGTTTGCATTCTTGTCCCTTGCATGTTGTTTACATGCTTGCTTCATTGTGTTGCATGTTTGCATGCTTGAGTCCCATTGTGTATGCCATGTTATGTGTTGCATTTTGTTTGGAATAGGTGTTAGTCCAAACACGGGAAACGAGGGGCATTTCATAATTGAAGTGATGAAACGTACCTTAATTCCCGGTCGCCGATGCTCTTGATCATATATGATAGAGTTTTAGGCCTTATGTGTTTACTTGTGCATTCATTTTACATTGAATTGTGCAACTTCGCCTCTCGGCCATCATGCATTGAAATGCGCGATTGGTGGCCTGAGGGTCGAGAACCACACTCCCTTGAGCTCATGTAATGATAGGGGGAATGGTTGTGCACACATATCTTGCAAATACATTGTCATGCCCTTTCTTGCTCTCTGTTGCAGCAAAGTGGAGTTTGGCAGCAACAACTGGTCAGCTGACTAATAAACCTGGCTGGCCGACCACTTTTTCTGGTTTTCAGCACAGAAAGTGGTCGGCAGGTGGTCTCCAATGCCAACAACTGGTCAGAAGCCCTCCCACAGGTTCCCATGGTGGAGTTTAAGCTTTCTGGAGCTTGGTGCAAGGTTCTGAGGACAATTGCAAACAGAGGCAAGTTGGGACATCGCGTTGAATTTCCGAACGAGGCGACCGAGCATGCATCCAGTCTTCTCCCTCTGAGAACCTCTTGTTTTACTGCTTTATTTAGCTTCTTTACTTAGCTAGATTAGGCATTCGTTTTATACTTTAATAGTTAATGTGTTTAGTTATTTCAATTTGTTTTGTAATAATTAGTTAACTAGGATTAGTTAATTAGTTTGTTTTGTAATAATTAGTTTAATTAGCTTAGCTTAGCTTAGCTTAGCTAGTTAGCTTCTTGTTCGGTCCCTCCGTCGAGAGGGTGCAATGTTGTAATAAGCGTGCGTGTGTGTGATGCATGTCTTCCAACCTCCATTTCTTTCTCCCTTTTACTTAACCGCTTACGATGGTTAGTTTTAGGGCATGTTTTGTTTAGCATACCTTATGCTCACATGCGTGCATCCATTCATCTGTTTTGCATGCACCGGGCTCGGTGCATCATAGAAACCAGCATTGCATTTTCAATACACTTATTTGAATACGTGTTCAAACAACATGTTATCAAGTTGCATTTCAAATGACATTCTAGGTAGCCGAGCCTATCTTAGGAACATTTTCGCATGTGTTGCATTAGCCATCTTAACATGAACTAGGATCATGCATGATTTCTAACTAGTTCTTTTGTTTTGGCTCGGAGTACACTGTGAGTGTTTACGCTTTAGCTTACTACATATGTGTTAATGTTGCCATGAAAACATGCTTGCCATGAGGCTAACTGCTTATTTGCTATAACTTCCTGAAGGCCTGTGGGTGAAGGTTGGATTACTTGAATTGGAACAATTCATCAAAATCCGCATTTTAGCCTACTCGCGAGTAGCAAACTTCAAACCATTTTCACAAACGAACATGCAATGTTTTGTTCCAAATTAGGCGATCTAGTCTATACTTGTATGTTGTGCGCATCACATAGTAATTCTAACTAATTAACCGGAATAAGAGCACATGTGTTTTCAAAAACAAAATATCATGCTTAGTAAAGGCCGATCTTTGATCGGGCGAGCAGGGGTGCTCATTGCATGACCTTCCCCTCTCGTACCCAAGTTCCCGAGCCGAGGCAACTTTGGTGATGACGGACACGTAGCCTTCGGCACGAGTTAGGGTTTCCTAAATTCCCCCCAAAATAAAATATTTAGGTGGTGACTCTGTATCTCCCAAAGCAGTCCACGTTTGGCATTTCTTTATTAAAATCAGTTTTCCAAAATGATTTGCCGGATTTGGACTCTTTGGTGATTTATCGGTCTTACATCGCACATTGTAAGATTAGATTCAGAACCGTGACATTTGAGTCCGAACTGTAGTAGCTCAGAACAAAACGAGATCCGCGCTCCCGCGCGCGTGGATATCGGAGAGTTCCCGGGAGCGCATCTACAGCGACCAAAATTTTGGTTGCCAAAAAACTTATTTTTAGTGACTAAAAATATTTTAGTCGCCGTATATTGATTTTTGGCTACTAAGACAATGTAGTCGCCGAATGGAAAATAAAAAATTATTTTATCTCTTTTGGCGACCAAAATTTTGGTCACCAAAAACTTATTTTCAATGATTGAAAATATTTTAGTCGCCATATATTGAGTTTCGGCTACTAAAACTATTTAGTCGCCTAATGGAAAATAAAAAATTATTTTTTATCTTTTGATCGTCAAAAATTTATTTTCAACGACCAAAAAAAAATTAGTCGTCGTATATTTATTTTTTCCGACCAAAAAAAAGTTAGTCGCCAAATTAATACTTTTGGCGACTAATATTTTAGTCGCCGTTAATTAAGATTTGGCTACAACAAAATTTTAGTCACCAATTATTAACATTTTCCGACCAAAAACTACTTTTGTCGCCAAATGTGTGAAAATTTTAGAGGGAAACCAATTGTCCTCGCCTGTTCTCTGTTTTTTTTTGTCTTTTATGAGTTTTAAATTTTTTTATAAAAAGAATTAAATATTTATATTATACCTAACTAAATAAAAATTTAAAATTTAAAAATATATATATAATTCACTCCACCATTAAAAAAATATAAATCACTTGAGATTATTGTTTGCAAAAAATAATTACTTAATTTTTTTTAGGGGGGATCATTTGACCACTTGGTCTCTCTCTCTCTCTCTCTCTCTCCATCCTTTTCATTCTCTCATCACTCCTTCATTTGTGCTCTCTCGATCCAGAAGCTTCTCATCACCAACCCCCTCACACTCTCTCATCAACGACTATGAGAGTTCTCTCTCTCTCTCCATTATTCTCTTCGATGAACAAGGGACTATCAGCAGGCACTACTACAAAAATAGTTAAAGATCACACTTTGAAAAATAAAAATATCTCATTTTTATTGAAAGTGTGATAAAAAAAATTAGATTAATATTTTAATCATACTTCATTTGATTGAGTGTGATAATATGTATTTTTTATGTCACTTTTCAATTAAGTGTAATTATATATATATATATATATATTTTTTAATCACACTCATAAATAAGTAAATAAGTGTGATTGTATAAAATATTTGAATTTGATTTTCATATAAAATACTATTCCCAAATTCATGCCTATACAGTTCAAAAAAAAAAAAAAATCACGCCTATTCTACCCACGATTGATGAGACAACACGACTCTTTCCATTCCCAACAATTGATTTTCACAAACAACGTAGGTCTCTTCTCCTTGCCTTCAGTTTCTGAAACAAAGCCCTAATTTGTTTTCTTCATCACAGCTCTGAACCACCATTGAAGTTACTCACTCAAATTTGTCTTTTGAAATCAAAAGCCTTATGAAATTTCTGGTGAGTTCTTTGTTTTTTTATGCCCCTCTTGTGATATATTTGCTCATATTTTGATATGGCATTTACAGGTTTGGAAATTTTTGCTTTAGTCATGTAATTAAATAAATGACTTTTCTTTCTTATTATATTGATGAAAGCAAATGCATTTTAAAGATAATGTGCTTCTAATGTCAAACATGTTTTAGCTTAATAGTGACTATCTGTCTGCCATAAACTGGGTGAGACAGTACCGGAATCAGGGAAAGATGAAGGATCTGCGAAGGTATGTCTATCCAAAAAATATTTATTCATTATTCTTCTTTTCTTCTTTTCTTTTGGGTACATCGGAGGCCATAACATGGGGGAAGAGGAAATGTTGCCTAGAATTAAACCCTTGACCTCCTACTTTGGTGCTGGTGTTTTGGCCAACTGGGCAAGTTGTAGTTAGTAGTTGATTATCTATACATCTCGTTGATTAATTTATTTTTAGATTCAATTTTGGGTATTGGCCCACATTTTTTGTTTATTTTGGGCATAACTTACCGTGGACTTATGAATGGGTGTACTTGAAGATGTAAATAGAGGTGTTATTCTGTAAAATTAATCCTTTACTAGTGCCAACATAATCTATGTTTTATTTGAATTGTAACTTAGGCACCGTGGTAGATGTATTGCGTGTGTCACATGCTTTAAGATGGCTGAGATTTTTAAAACCAGATGATTCTAAACAAATATGAGGCCTTTTGTATGTTAAATTTTCCATTCTGTATAATTTTTTGAAAAAACATAAATAAGTAATTGGAGTTGTGGTGGTTCTTCGTGAGCCTTAACAAATTGGACATTAATTGTTTGGAGAAATAATTTGTGACTTTCACGACCTTGATGAATGGATTGGATCTCATTTTCACCAAAATTTTCATCCAATTTAAACTTGATGAAGGATTGGAGATGTTCTAATGTGAATTCAATTAGTGTAAATTTTGAAGCTACTAGTACTGTCAAATTATTCACTTTCGTTCTTTACCTAGTCGTATGAAGCTGATTGTTTGGGCTGATTGGTAAAGACTTGTTTTTCTGGTTCTATAGTCCATCGATTTTAACCCCTGAATGATATTTGTGTGGTATGTGTCATTTTGGATAACAGAATAGATGCACTTTGTTGTTTTGTAGCAGAAAGGACAACAAAAGAAAGCCAAAAAGAATGCTTCTAGTGGAAGCAGAGAGTTATTGCCTCAAAATGCAACATCATTTTTGCTTTTAGCCTTGCTCTCAAGTCTTTCAAAACTCCACCATAGATATCATCAGCAATAATACGGTCATCACATTTCTTTCTTGAAAACATAGTATAATGCAACTCATGTGTACCAATATACCTGCATATTTTAGGGGATCGATCTTGGCTATATATATCTATTGTTGGAGTTTTGTTCTACTGGTGTGCATAACTTGCATGATCTTATGACAGTAAATTGTGATTTTCTTTAATCATTGGAAACATTTTCACTGCCTGAGTTTTTCTGACTCTTTGCTTAATCACTTGGATGTATCCTTATTATTTTCAGAATAGTTGATTTCTAGAGCTATTGCCTATTGTTAGGCAAGAAACAATTGATGGATTCACTTCCAAGGCTACTGATGTGTTTCGAAGAGAATTTGATTTCTTTGATAAAGTGATATCTATATCCAGTGTGCTCTTTCCAAAGGAGGAATGACGAGCTGGTATATGGAGGTATTTTTCTATTTTGGTTGTGTTAATTAAAATAATACTGTGTTTTGTGGCATTGAAGATGGATTCTAATCTTCTTTTTTAAAAACAGAGAGTTGGAGAAAATTGTCTTAGCAACTGGATGTACTTGACTGAAAATGGAATCAGATCTTTCACCCAAAGACCTTAAAATATACTTTTTTTTTATTGAGACGGAGACAAACATTACCATAATTTAGATAAATTCTATTTAGTAGGTGATTTCCTTTTCTTAATATATGGAGCCTAAGTAACCAAGGCATGGACCAAATAGGTCCTCCCCCCCCTCCTCTCTTCCCAGTTAAATGTTTTAAAGTAGTTGAGCATTCAATTGTACATTGATATTTTATGTATCTTAACACATAACATAGGCACCAGAAACCCCACCAATTTAGTGCTTTTGCTGCTGCTGCTGTAGAGCTGTTTTTGCAGCAGCTGCAAGTTGCCCACTGAAAACCCCACCAATTTAGTAGCTCAGACCATATCTTCCACACTTTAGAGCACTGTAACAGAACATGGTTGCAAGATTCAACTTCACTTTTACAAAAAGGGCAGACATTACTAGAGCACCATTTTTTTTTTTTTTTGCAAATAGTCAGCTATTTTCACCCTCCATTACCAAGCGAACCAGCCAAAAAACTGGGTTTTGGGTGGGGAAACATTAAACCATAATAGCTTAGGCACAAGCAAATTGGATCCATGTTGGTCTTCAGCCAACCTTCTGATAGCAGCCACAGAACTTTGAGTTGAGAAGATGGAAGCAAGATCAAAGAGTTGAAGAAAAAATATGTCACAAGAAGTGTGATCAATATAAGAAGAAATGCTCCTAATTTTAAGGTTTTCATTCTCTCTCTCTAGCCAATCTCTTTTTCTAGACAATATATTATAGTGGTTGATATGAAACATATTTCAAGTTTTAGCTATATATAGATCTCATGGTGGCAAAAATACATTGGAGACTTCAAATTTTTTAAGTTAGTGTTTCTACAAGTCAAGATAGAAACCATAGACTATTGAGTTAAATAATAACTAAAAGCCCCATTATTAGTTTATGAGTTCCACTATAGAGTTTTATGTGTACTTCACATCACAATTTCCATAACCATTAAAACACTCGGCAGTTAATAAAGGTGGTTTTTTGTTTTTTGTTTTTTTACAATGATATTTGACTAAATAACTAAATAATAATAGACATATATAGCCAAAGTTGCAATCTTGATTCTGCTCTTTTAGTCGGTTGCAAAGCTGGAATGTTTATAGTAATGCAACCAAGTGGGTAGTCGTAAGATATTTTTCTTACTAGCTAAACTGATTTTCACAGGAAGTAAATATATGTGTAAAATTGTAATAGTAGAATTAATAACAGAGAAAAAGGACATGTATACTTACGCATGATCTAGACTGATAGAAGTTTTTAAATTATTCTTCCGGTAAGGATTCAAACTCACAGAAAGAAATATTAGATCTGAAGTATATGCCGTTACACATCTGTAGTCAATCATATGATATAACATAATTATCACATAGAAACAATCAAGATAAATGAACTTTTATCTAGATCATCACAGTTTTGAAAATCTTTCTGGATTTTAGTTTCGATACATAATGTTTTGCTATTTCTACTCTTATAACCTTAATTTTCCCAGCCCTAAGTTTTGCTAAACACCTGTTGATGTGGCAGATATAATGATAGTTTAAAGCTAGTGCTTGAAGGCCTATAATATAATCCATGAAAATGTCTCTAGAACTCCTCTAAGAGAAATTCATATTGACCAATATTTGCACAAAAGTTCAAAAAGACATACGTTAAATCCAAAATTTGTGGAGTCAAGGTAACATTGAGCTTGATTCAACCATGAGGATGTGTAACTTTAAGATAATTCACAATATATAGTAGGAACAAATAAAATACTCAACGTATGTAAGGAACACTTCTGGAAGGCCCAAGAGGCATCTTCATTTTGACCCACTTTTCTATGGAAAAGGCTCATAAACTTATGTAACTATAGGTGCAGTTTTGAAGGTGCTATTCAATTTTTCTAATTATGTACTAGACTTCCATACTAAAGCCCAAGATAGTTATGCTTGCTCAAGAGGCAGCCTTCAAAAAACGAGAGATTTATCAAAAGACGTGTATTTTTCTTAATGTAATGTACACAAGAGATGAATTGACCTTCTTTTGATAACATTGAGGAGTCTATTCATCAATTGAAAGGCCACTTTTTGAGTTTTCTATGTAGTTGGGTGACAACAAGAACAGCAAATCCTTCACTAGACAATTTAATGTATTTTTTTAGAGAGTTTGGATTCTCTAGTTGATGTATATAGGTCATATGACTCATACAGGCTTTCTGTTGTACCAATTCTGTACACATGGTTTGTGCTCCCTTCAGACCTGTAATTATATCATTCACTTATCCAAGATTTTGAATTAAAAAAAACAAACAAATATAAAAAAACAAAATAAAGAAAGCTCATCCAAATTAATGTCCAAATCATATCTAACACAGATAATAGCAGATGTGTCAGATGTGTCAATGTTGGCATACATATGACATGTCTGACAAAGGAAACTCACATGAAAGTGAGCTGGAACAAGCAGAGATCAAGTCAATGTGTCAGATAGTAATGCTCTTATCCAATAGCTAACCTAAGCAGTCGTTGTCACTGAATCACATAGACAATGTTATTATGAGTTAAAAGAAGAAAGTTAATTGGCTCAGTTATGCCTTTGCCTTGTTATCTTCTCCAACCGAGGATTAGATCAGCTTCACTCTTTTAGGATGACCAATTGCCCTGTTTTTATTTTTTTGTGTATTAGCTCTGTGCATGTTCATTGTAGATAGCTTCCTTTTGATGGCCATAGACACCCTGCCTCCTTGCAAACTGTAGTTCTAGCATTTCTATATGATCATGCATATAAACATAGCTTCATGTTGTGCTGCCTTACTGATGCTATTTTGTTGTGCTGTTTGTTCTGTTGGCCTGCTGTATTTTGTTGTGTGCTGGTGCTGCTGTGTGCTGCCGGCCTGCTATTTCTATTGGCCTGTTGTACTATTTTTTCTTCTTTTTTCTTTTGCCATGTTGGTAGCTTCTGTTTACAGCCAGTTTATGGTTTTGTTGGTTCTTGGTCTCTTCTTTTTGCTTTCTTTGTTGTTTTAATTGTCCAACATATCCTCACAAAACTTGGTTAGCATAACCTTTGCAAAATATATTCAAATGTTTATGTAATATTGGACCTGATCCTCCTGCTTGTAATATTCGAATTTAAAGATTGTAATATTGGGCCTAATCCTCATGCTTCTGATATTCCTTGAAATTGGTTGCTATGTTTTTTTTAGAGAGCGAAGGAATGAGCTTAACCATACGGAACAATGCATTTTGTTTTCTCTGCTTTTTGAGAACATGGATTCTGTAACATAAGTAACTTTTAAACAAAATCTACTGTATTTCACTTATAGTTTATTCCATTCTTTTGATTGTATAGAATTTGATTTTAGCCTCAGCTAGTAGGGATAAGAACATGGAGGAATGCCAAATTCTTGTAACATGGGTGCTTTTTTATTTTATTTTAAACGATCATTTTGATTCATTGATCTTAACTTGTGTTTTTGTTTGTTTTGGTACTAATAGGTTATCGAGCAAGTTGAAGTTGAGTATGTACCAAAAAAGGCTGAATTTGATGGTCATTTGGATGAGGAGTTTAGGAAGGTCTTTGAGAAATTCAATTTTAAGGAAATTATGGGGTCTAAGGTAATTGGAATTTTGCCCAAATATTAAGTATCTTTTGTTTGGTATATATTTTTTCCTATAAGTTTTTCTCATTTCTTCCATTGTATTCATTCAGGAAAACGATAAAAAGGATAAGACTACTGCAGATTCTGCCTCAAAGAAGGTTGACTCAGATTCTAAAGAGGAAGAGTAGGATAGCCATCAAAAAGAGAAAGGTGTCTCTAATAAAAAGAAAAAGGTTTGATTTTCAGTATCCTGTTTTTTGATTGTTGCCGTTATTATTATGTCTACCTTGAACATATGGGCTAATTTTTTTGCACATGTTCTTTCAGCTGATATGTTAGTTTGGATCAGCTACCAAGCAAGCTGATATTTTTTGCACTCGTTGGAATAATTTTCAGTCTTTGTTCCATACCATTACAAAACTAAAATATAACACGTGGGGTAGTATAGGGTTTAAAATGATCTTTGTACAATTTTAGTGGGCTAGTTAAAGGAGATACATAAATCTCAAATACAATATGCTTTTAGGTAACCCAGTAAATGAATAAGGACAATGTGGTAGCTTAGGCAGGTGCACGAACATACCCAAACAGTGGGCTATCAAATTCTGCAATACTTTGTAAGATTAAATTCCAAAAGAACATAAACTGATGCAATGACTTTTTAATTGAGGTTCCACTCGGTGATCCACAACAAACATTTTATCATATTGTTTAAGTTAACGAAAATGAATTACTTACCCAAACAAAATTATTTGCATTATTAATGAAAAGACACTATTTAGTGTTGGCCCCAAGTCTTCAGAATTAGGAGGGGAACCTGATCTCCGGTTTCTATTAAGTATTAATTAGCTAGATGTAACTGCCTCTGAACAATGTGATAAAAAATGCAAACACCAGCCGTTTGAATTCCGCTTCAATTTTCCCCTTCAGTATGGTTAGACACTCGTATGCCAATATGTATAGTTTATATTTGCTAGTTGAGAAGTCTATTGCATATTATTGTGAATTGTTGTCTTATTTAATTATTTTTGACTTGTTCTTCTTTGAATTACATTTAAGTCCGTTCAAAACACTCAACAATGAAATACCAAAGTGGTAATGCTATAGACATAAGAATGCTATTGTTTTATTTACAATTTGATAATGATAGTCATTTAATTTGCTAATGTGACCTTAACTTTTCATGGACATTTTTCATTATTTGTCCAATTTTACTTGACATTATTTCTCTTTTTCTTTGGTACAGGTGGATGAACTCGTACACAAAGCTAAATTGTACAGGACAAATTGGCACTTTTTGTATTTTTGGAAGGATTATATATTTTTGTATAGATGTATATGGAAAATATTAGGGTAGACTAGTAGTTATATTTTTGGATACACTAGTAGTTATATTTTTGGCTGAGTGTGTATGAAAAATATTTGGTAGATTACTAGTTATATTTTTGGGTTGATGCACATGGATAAAAATTTAAAACACAATAATAAGTACATGTTATGTTTTAAATTTTTATGCTAGATGAAATATGTAGTTTGGAATTACTTGTGGATGAAAACTTATAATAGTTGCTGACTTTAATTAAACAGGTTCAGAAATGGATGATATATGTATTTTGTTGAATGTTCATGATTCAATTTATTTGTTGGTTTGAATGATTTTTGCAAATTATAGATTATATTGAATAAATTGCATGGATTATTATAAATTACATGTTTATTTTGTTGGATGTTGGCGACCAAATTTTGGTTTTGTTTTTCTAGTTTTGGCGACCAATTGATTAGTCGGAAAAGATAAGTTATACTTTTGCCGACTAAATTAAGTAGGCGGTGTATCACCAAGCACATTTGGCGACTAAATAATTAGTCGTTAAAACTATTAATTTTGGCAACCAAAGGATTTGGTCGCGAATAGGTCTATTGCCGACTAAAGTTTTAGTTGCGCAAACATTTCTTTTGGAAACAACCATGTTTGGTCGTGGAATGAGACAATTGGCGACCAAACAATTTGGTTATGGAATGAGACAATTGGCGACTAATTATTTTGGTCATGGAATGTGACAATTGGCGACCAAACTAAGAGGTCGTAGAATGCCACAATTGGTGACCAAAACTTTTTGGTCGTGGAATGTCACAATTGGCGACCAAACTTTTTGGCCGTTGAATGTGATAATTGGCGACCAAACTTTTTGGTCATGGAATGTGACAATTGGCGACTAAGATATTTGGTCGGGAAAATATCACTTGTCGCGACCAAAGTGTTTTAGCGATAAAATGGATTAGTCCCAATAATGATATATTTAGCGACTAAAAATTTAGTCGGCAAATCCAACTTTTTCCGACCAACCAAAATTTTGGTCGCGAATTACTTTTGCCGACCCTTAATTGACGACCAAAGTAGCAATCAAAAAAATTGGTCGCGGATAACTATTGCCGACTAAAAATGGGCTTTTAGCGATCAATTTTTTGGTCGGCAAAGGTGTTATTTCTTGTAGTGCTAGAAGGAGATATTTATGCAAATAGCCAGCACCTTGATGTCATGAACAATAGCTCCACATTTCCAAGGAGGAACATCCTCGGAGACACAACTAAATGACAAGTTTATTGTCGCTTTCTATTTCCACCATCACAGGGTTGTACTCTTGAGCCAACTGACAAGCAAGTCGGCAATCTAGAGCTTCACCTTGGAAAGAGGATGAAATACAACACTTCTTGGTGAGGCCATCAATCAATTGACCTTTAGAGTCCTGAAGGATAGCTGCAACTGCTGTTTGATTAGAGCCCTTCTTTACTACCACATCGCAATTTACCTTTAAGTTACCCAAGGACGGAGGCACCCAATTCGCTACAGGGAGGATAACAGCAACTTGAGATTGTGGACGCGAAACAACTCCCAAACCAGTAGCAGACTCAAATTCTGCCTTGGCCAACCAAACACGATATAAGACTGAGAGAGGATCAATCGGCTGGTTGTTAAAAAAAAAAATCATTCCTGCCCTTTCAAATAAACCAACCAGTCCAAACAACTTGCCTAAAGAAAAGATCCCGTTCAACGGCATTTTGAAACTGCTCCATCAAAGCACACGACCATTCGAGGACTGAGTGGATGGAATTCCAGTTGACTCTGAAGTTTAGATTACTCCCAAACGAAACTACACGAACCAAATTACGCCCAAAAAATAAGTGCTCCATCGATTCTAGTCTGGATTGACAGATTGGCCAAAGATCAAAATAAGCACACCTCTTTCTAACTAAGTTCTCTCTAGTTGCTAAAGCATTTTTACACACACACCACCAGAAATGGTGAATCTTCGGTGGAACTTTGAGAGCCCAAATACGTTTCCAAAACTTAATAGGAGGTTAGAAGGAAGAATACAGTGTTTGTGCCACAGTATCATGTAAAAGGGACCCAGCATTATGATACCCCATGGAAACCAAATAAATGTCTTTTGATTCATAGTACCAAACTTGAGAATCCGCCATAGGGGCCAAGGCATTGGGAATAGAGGAAATAGCTTTAAGCTCAGAGTTTGACACAAGAGGGCTGAAGGCATCTAGTTTCCAGCTCCTTGTAGTTGTATCAATAACATCCTCTACTCTTTCAATCTCACAATTCACAGGTGGCTTAGAAGAGACTTTAAAACTTGAAAGAGAGGGGACCCATTTTTCCTCCTAGAAACGAATAGAGGACCCATCATGAACTTGCCATCAGACACCCTTTTTTAAAATTTCCCTTCCTTGCAGGATGCTTGCCCATGCCCAAGAAGCTCAGCGACCCTTAGTTGCAAGCATAAAGCTAGAGTGAGGGAAATAAATGCCTTTCAAAATGCGAGCACTGAGAGAGTGCGGATATTTAAGTAACCACCAACCTTGTCTTGCGAGCAAACCCAAATTGAACTTGTTAAAATCGCGAAAGCCCAATCCTCCTTGAAACTTCGACAGCACCAATTGATCCCAACTAACCCAGTGGATCCCTCTACCATCCAGATCCCCTCCCCACTAAAATCTACAAATATAGGAATTCAATTTAGCACATAATTTTTTTGGAAAGGCGAAACAGGCCATTGCATATGAGGGAATTTCTTGAACCACTACCTTTATTAAGGTTTCCCTTGCAGCTGGCGAGAGTAATTTCATCTTCCAACCCTGAAGTTTTGACACCACTTTTTCAAGAAGAAACTCATAGGCCTCCGCTTTCGACCTTCCCTAAAAAAAGGGCAGCCCCAAGTATTTTGCATTTGGGTGTGAAACTTGAAGACCAGAAAGGGCACAAATAGAGCTGTGTAAAGTTGGAGACACATTAGAGGAGAATTGAACACTTTACTTGTCAAAATTAATCAATTGATAAGAAGCTTCACAAAACATAGATAGGATATCCAACATTGTTTGACATTTCGAAGTCTTTTCCTGTAGAAATAGGAGCACATCATCAGCGAATAACATATGAGAAAGAGTTGGCATTGCCTTACAATCTTGAAACCAGTAATTTGCCGATCTCTAAGGCTTTGTGATAGAAGATTAGAGAGAACATCTGCAACTAGGATAAATAGCTAGGGAGATAAAGGGTCCCCTTGGTGAAGCCCATGAGTGGGTATGAAAGAGGCCCTATTTTCACCATTAGCACAAACTGAAAAGCTCACAGTTGATACACATTCCATAATCCATTGGATCCACTTCGCGTGAAAACCCATCTTCTTTAAGACCGTGGCCAAGAAATCTCATTCTATTCGATCATAGGCTTTGTTGAAATCAAGCTTGATAGCCATGTAACCCACTTGCCCACCTTTCTTCAGTTTCAAAGAATGAAAAGCTTCATGAGCTATGAGAATATTATCTTGGATCAACTTTTCAGGGACAAAAGCTGACTGGTTTGGAGAAATTAACAGACCAAGAACTTTTTTCAAATGATTGGCCAAGATTTTTGTAATGATCTTAACAATAAAGTTACAGAGGCTAATAGGATGGAACTGTGATAATTTTGAAGGATTACCAACCTTGGGAATCATAACCAAATTTGTTTGATTGAGCTCTTTAGGCATGTGCCCTCCCACAAAAAAACTACTGACAGCTTGATAAACTCTGTTGCCCACGACATCCTAATAGTTTTGAAAAAAGAACCCAGGGAAACCGTCTGATACGAGCACTTTAATAACACCAAGCTGGAAAGCAACGGTTCCAACTTCCTCCTCAAATAACATGGAGGTCAAATGACGGTTCATTATTTCAGTTACTAGCGGCTGAACCATGGAAAGGGTTTCATTAAAATTTCTATCCCTAACACTCGAAAATAACTGAGAGAAGTACTCAAAAATATGGCGATTAATCTCGAGGTCGGATTCTATCAAGCTGTCATTCACGTCTTGTAATTTAAGGATCTGATTTCGCTGGCGACGTTGAATCATGGTGGCATGAAAAAAACTGGAGTTTTTATCCCCATAATTTAACTATCTGACCCATGACCGTTGATGGAGATACATTTCTTCTCTGGCTAGTAGCTTTCCAACTGAGATTTGATCTGATGTTGAAGCTCAGAATTACCATAAGAAAATGGTTGTAATTGGAGATTTGCTAAGTCCACTTTCAGGCGAACAATCTGAATTTTGGTGTTCCCGAAACACTCTTTACTCCAACTCTTTAACCCCTCACGGTACTCCCGTAGCCGATTAACTAGTTAGAACATTAGAGATCTTGCTTGAGAAATGCCCCATTGCGATTTGATCACATCAAGATAACCAGGGCTAGTGGACCACATAGTTTCAAATTTCAAAACCCGTGGAATCTTTTTCAGAGGGACACAACAGTTGAGAATTAAAGGACAATGATCTGATCCAAATAGGAGCTCATGAAACACTTGGGCAAAAAGAAAAAGGCCATGCCACTCTACTGTAGCCACAACCCGATCCAGTCTCTCTTAGATATTGTCAGTACCTCATTGATTATTAGACCAGGTGAAAGACGGGCCCTTGAACTCTAGATCCATTAGGGCGCAGCCAGAAAGCAACTCCATAAAATCTTGAAACTGACTCATACGACACTCAGCTTCTCCAGACTTTTCTTCCATGCATCCAATTTCATTTAGATCGCCTATATAGAGCCAAGGATAAGAATTTTCGTTTGTCATTTGGCGAAATTGGTTCCATAAATTTTTTGAAGCAGTCTTTGGGGTGGAGCGTACACAAAGGTGGCTGTCCAGCTACTCTGACTATCAAACGAAGAAATAACACTTCGGATCATATTCCGCAACGAAAAATGAACATCAAGGTGAATATCATTAGTCCACCATAAAGCTAAACCCCCAGACACTCCAATGGAATCAACATAAGACTTGTGAGAAACGTGAAAATTTCTGCGAAGTCTATCCAGAAAACTCGCTTTATTCTTCGTTTCCATTAAAAACACACCATTTTGGGACGATGGGTTGAGATCAACCCTCTGAGGATCTGGACTGTCAGGGGTTGTCCCAAACCCTAACAGTTCTAGCTGAGAATTAACATGGTGGGTGTGGCTGTTCTGGGCCAGCCACCAGAGCCCAATTTTCGTCCTCA